TGAAAAGGCCTGATTTGCCATACTCAATGTTGTCCACAAAGCAGGGCCTGTTGTTTGATTTAATACTTTGGTCTAATCTTGATGGACTGGAGCAGACAAATGAGTAGCAACTAAAGACTCTGGTTGATACTGCCAATTTGAGTACACAATGAATGCTATTTAGCTATTTAACAATATATTAACTGTTGTGCCAGTTCATACTTACAAATAGCTAGCTCAAGTTCATAGTTCAGCTAACAACCTATAAATCAACTAATTCTAGTTCATTCGGTAAATTAAACCACAATCGTACACAATAGAACCTCATATTTCACCATAGGATCATAATATATAGAAAGAAATGGGAAATATTGAATGCAGTCAAGGTATATGTACAGTATGTATGTCTTTATAAGCCTTTATTTAGCAGAATGACACAGAACTTCAGAAAAATACAGGAACATAATGGTTCTGCTGAAAAGATCTGTATCAAAAAGGATTTCTTACATTCCTCATATTTCCCAAGATAGCTCAGATGCTTTAACTTGATGTGTTGCTTTAAATTTCAGTGGCTATGGCTGATGTATGGACTTGTTTGTAAAGTCCCAGGGGGCTTTTTAGGTTTCTATACTTTACTCCATTACTTATTTTTGACTTCTACTCATTATATTTTCACAAAAGTATCTGTACATTCTATTCCTTACATTTTTAAAACAAACGTTACTCGTTACTCTTGGCTTCGGTTTAATGTTTATAAATATTTATTTCCCGTCATGTGCTCCATCCAATGCAGATCATTGGCTCCATCCACATCTAGTGAAAACTACTGTAATTGATGAGTCATAGAACGCAAACACTCATTGATTAGCTAAAGGAAATCATCAGAAGCAAGCAGGTGTTCTTCAAACTGCTAACGTGAATTGTCTATGCCATGCTACAATGTGGGATTCAGAAAAAGATGTTGAAATGTCTGAAAGGTCGGACACAGGCGAGAGCGTATCGGGAGAGGGAGACAAACAAGACCTCCCTCATCCTTGGCCCTATCTCTAAGAATTTTTAGAAATAGCTGAAAAATTGAGCTTTCAGTTCATATAGAGGCATCTGGCTGTTTTTTAAAGGTTACTTTATACTTTAAGTAGTTTTTGGAGCACATACTTTTTCACTTTTACTTGAGTAAAGAGTTATAGTTGATACTTCAACTTTTACCAGAGTGTTTTTAAACTGCAGTATCTATACTTCTACTTAAGTAACAAATATGTGAACTTTTGACACCACTGGTAATCGTTGTTGTTCCACATCATCGGAGGAATCTTCGGGATGTTCTGCCAAAACAGGCAGGCAAAGCAAGTTAAACTGGGCTTCCTTTTTGGTGATAAATATGACATGCTTCATAGCGATGAATATGCTGCTGTTTTCGACATTTGAAAAAGCTGCATTCAAACAGCTGATGGCAAGTTTTTCTCTAACACAGCGCTCCTGATTTGAACAATGAGTGAAGGAAATTAGTGCAAGATGAACTGCAATGTGCAGTTTCTTACCACACCACAAAGTCAGACCTTTGGTCAAGTCACACATCCAGCCCTTCCTCACCCCCTCAGTTCACTACACAGACAGAGAATAGAACCTGAGGAGTACGTGTTTGATAACACAACTCAGGTCCCTTAAGTTTAGTTATTTTTCTATTAAAAATTAATTTATGGGTAATAAAGATTTAATTAGAATTCTGTGTTTGTGTGTAAGTAAATAATTTGCACTTAAAATATGGTTTTAAATCTTTTCGGTAATTATCCATATCGATCAATATACATTTGTTTATCAATATGCTTTTTTTTATATCATCCAGCCCTTAATTCAATTCTTGAAAAAACTGATCCGTTCAGTTCACCGTTCACTAAAAATATGAACGGATTCAGATAATGGCGTTCACTACTCTGACTATAGCTACTCTGAACATCCCCTAGAGTTGAGTATTAACCAGATATGCTTATAATCACTAAGCTAAGTTCAGTTAAAGAGGAAAGGAAGGAGTCGAGCATAAAACTAATTCTAGTTCATCTCCATGACTGAACTGGATTTTATTCACACTGCACCGTTTCTAAAACTATACTTAAAAATCTTAAATTCTCACTTCATTTAAACAGTAGACTTACATTTAAAAGAAAAGAAATAGATTTTTTTTTTTTATCCATTTTTACCTTCTCATGTAAATGACTTCATGATTAGAATTGACGGTAACACTTTACCATCATAACCTTTAAAATTTAAAAATTTGAAAATCATTTATAACCTGTATTTAAAACATTTATAAAAAAAGTAAATAAATATACCCTTACCCTAAACTCAGTGGGATTAAGACTCTAACTTGCCTTTATTTTTAACTGAACATGCCCTGTGATTTTGGACTTACCGTTACCCTAACATCAGTGGCTTTAATAGCTTAATAAATTATTTGTTTAACTTTTATAAATGGTTTAGATGCAGTTTATGAATGAGCATTAATTAACCATTTGTTAATCGTTAGTAAATGGTCTCTTTACTATCTTTAAATGATGGTTATAATAGTTATTGTAAAGTGTAACTGAATTATTATAGGAAAGTTGACCAGAGTCATGTTTGCTATTTAAAATGAAATCCACAGAACTTCACTGTATGCATGCAGTCCTGTTGTGATGTAGGAACAGACCTGTGTTAAAAACAATAAAAAAAGGTAAACCACAGGTCTTGCTGGTACTAAATACTACTTAAATTTTATGAACAGTTTAATAGAATTCACACCAAAACATTCCAGCACGCACACAGATGCAGATCCTTTGAACTGGCTCTGTGTGTGTTAGAATCACTAACCTCTCATTAATACCTATTTTCATGAATGCTGAGAAAGCTTTGCGGTTAGCTCATTGTAATTGCTTCCCCACACATGTTCATGCACAAACACACTCCACACACACCTATAAAAAATAACCACTTCTATTAGTCCTTCTAATTGAAAGGCAATTAGGCCTCAGGTTTCATGGTGTGAGCTAAACGGTGGGTGTCTGTTTTCAGCAGCGTTGTGTTTTGAAGCTTTTAACAGACCACAAAGAACCGGCCTTTGAAACTAGATACCCTAAATCGAAGTTTAATGTACTGACTCTTTGTACCTCTCAGACCTCTGCGCCCTTGATATTCCTCACTGCATATTCCCTCGTTCAGCCACTAAAATCAGCACAGAACACATGTAAAATTTCTTCAACTTCCTTTGGTATCTATGTTCATCTTGCTGCATAACTGGGTTAATGCAGATACATATGTAAATACACCCAATAAAAAAGACTTTAAGGGTCCAATATTTTTATTTTCAAAAGTAAAGGTCCCTACATTTGAAAATAAAAATAATACAGTGATTTTGCGGTTTGTGCAGGAAAATTCTTCTAAGATCAGGCAGACAGCAGGAATCAACAATCTCCTTATGCATTCTGTGGATGAGCTGTGATGGCTTTCCATGAACCAACATAGTGCTGATTAGTTTTAAATGTTTTTAGGTGTTTTTAACTTTTATATTATTTAATTTTATTGATTATAACACGTTATATCCTCTGAATGAACCTCTAGTTGTATTTAAAATAAAAAAAATAAAGGAATTTTCCAAATTCTTAGACATTTTAAAACATAAAAAGTAACTTTATGGTTACTTTGTCTCCTAACGAGTTACTTTCACTTATTTGGAGAAAAAACTAATTAATATAACTAGTAACTTTTCTTTAAATACCTCCATCAGATCACACCTTTTATGGTAGCGTCAGTCGTCATTTCATAATAAGTTTCATTTGGCTCAGTATTGACTGAATGATACGGATGTAAAGGCCAGATTAGGACAGTTGTTAAATGTCATTAGTTAGTACAGTTGGTCAAAATTTAACCTATTCTTTCTACAAATTATTTTTGAAACAGCAATTATTGTCTCATTTTACTGCTACTGCTCAAATAGTGCAATGCATTGCATTTTTTGGCCTCCCTCCACTCAACGTGTTCTTTAAAAACAATCAAGACGATCATTACCAGTTTAAAAGTGTCTTTGTTCATTCCTAGATAATTAGCTGCTTGAACAAAATGTATTTACAATTTGTATTTTTTGTTTTCGTGGATACGTTTTCCCATAAAACCAAATATAAGTTAAAGAATATCTGCTGAATGTAGAATTATCTAATGCTCTTGGAGTTAGGAGCAGAAAGTTGGCATCTGAAGCAGATCCCAACCTTAGAGACTGATAATTAGCAACTCTGTTCTCTCTATATGCTTACATTCCACCTGAACTGAGAGGTCATGGCCTAACAGTAACTGGGTTTTGCTGCACTTTGTCAAGATGTATCCAGTTTAGCAAGGTGTTCTGTAAAGATATAATGTAGCATAAATGGTGCCACTAAAATGAATAACAACAAGCTTTAAATTAGGACAGTAAAATGCATTTATTTAATGTATTTCCATTCTTAGCCTCATTCTATATGTGGGGTTTCAGTAAAAGTTGCACTTTCAGCTAATCGTTTGCAACACAAGCTAGCAGTTTTTGCTTCAAAGCTCATGATATTGATGACTCGTTGGCTGCAGGGCTGCAGATGTCTTAACATTACCTAAACAGAATGGTGTGCAACTGAAGCAATGCAAGTGGCATTCATGTAAACTCTGCAGAGTGCATACAGTGATAGTTCAGTAAATGCCTCCCGACTGTCTTCTCTCTTTAAATGCATTTGAAACTAAACCAGCAACTCAGTGACCTGCGGTCACATGAACTGTCTGCTCTTCAACAAATCAACTAATTACATCAAATTTGATGGATTTATGGGCAAAACCACCTGTACTAATTACACACTGTCCAGACACCAACCGTTCAGAAAACTGTTTTACCTCAAATGTTTTAACAGAAATAATATAATTAATTGTATAACATGCAGGTTTTAAATAACTAAAGATGTGCTTACAATATTTTTTTCTGAAATATTGATATTTTGTAATGTACAAAGTATCTTCATTCTGTTCTCCTTTAGGTCCTTCAAGGAAAGACGAAGCAGCACAAGGGGGAAGTGACAAGTTGGAGGAAGACTGTCAGCAGCGTTTAGAGTGGTGATGAGTATTTGCAGAAGCAAACTCCATCCCAGCATATGAGCAACAAATCTCTTTATTAACATCTTGCCTCAGAGTGAGCAGAGCTCCACTGAGAGGAGGCACAAAGTTGGAGAGTGAAGTGCACAGCTCCTGTTGTTGGCCAAGATGGCAGCCCTGATAGAAAAGCAGCAGGGCTTGGGGCTGCTGAGGGTCCTCCTGGTGTTGCTGGGGATTTCAGTGCTTTGCAGCGTTGCATTAGGAACCAGGAAAGGGCATGCTTCTCTAAACCACAGGAGCCACAGACACAGACATCCAGGTAAAACAACCAGAAATACAAATGGGTTCTTAGTTTCTAACATCACTTCTTTTTTACCTTTTATTTTCAGATATATTTTCATTATAATATTTTACATAAATGTTCATATATATACAAAACAAACATATTATATATATATGAAACAAAATCAGCAGGAATTTGCTACTCTGCTGGAAAACAATGTGGAAATCTGGCATTGTTTGTTAATAATTAAATGATTATAATTCAGCATTATCGAACCACTAATGAGGAAATATAGGAAAGCTATTTAAACTTAGCAAATTCAAAACACATGTTGCAACCTACCTATTACTGAATGAATAAAAAATGGATCAAAGACACTAATTGAAAAACAATTACTAAGAGTCTGAAAGGTGACATGATTCTAATCTTTTATCGCAGTGAAACTTTGGAAAAATGGAATCAACTTAAATCCAGACCAGGGAGAAATCTGATAAATGGTGCGTGGAGCTCACTGATCTTCAGATGTTAACTTCCTTTCTGAGTGGAAAAAAAAAAAATAATTTTTGCCAAGAGTGACGGAAAAACGACTTTTCATTGGGCATCCTGCTAAGTGGTCTGTGGTGCACAAATATATAAAAATTGATACTAATACATAAATTCTGTGACATTCGCAACAACGGCTAAAAATATTGCAGTGTGATAATGTTGTGAAATTGTATAATGATGCCATCAATCACAATCAACTCATTTTTTTCACACTACTCTTTAACAACCATAACAAAATCACCACCATCTTTCTTGGCTTTCTGTTCTTGGCCACAAAAATCTATCTACATCTAGTTAGTCTTTTATTTGAATTTTAAAAGCATTGATATTAAAAGCAACTGTGGTTCAATAAAATATGCAGGTCTATTAAATTTGTTTCTGTTCTCCATTGTCCTGTAATTCCAAACAGGAAGCCTGTTCACAGCAATTACATTAAAATGTTTGAAAAACCTCAACTTATAAAATTGGCCAAACATTTGCAAATTGTTTGCAAATCTAAGATTAAATCTCCTTCTAATTCAGAGAGTTGGACATCCGCTTTTTATATTGTTTTATTGAAATAACACCTTTGTTTTTTAAAGGAATTGTTATGTATTCAGGAGTCCACCCATATTCATCACCTCAAACGATAAAATATGTCTTCTAAATGCAGTTTGCATGGAAAATCAACCTTTTTTAGAAACCTGGTGTTATTTTTTATAGCAGAAGATGAATAAACATCATTAGGGAGTACGTTAAAGTAAGATTTATTCCTATCTTAACATTTTACCAAAAAGTATAGCTGCAATTAATCGTCTAAATGGTTTAAAATCCTTTAGTTTGAACACCACAAGTTGCCAAGTCGGTGTATTGACAGGTTTTATGTATAACTGTAATGATGACTTACATTTGTTTCCGTATTTGTACCAAATATCAGAGTCATTCTTGATATAACCAGTCATCTTAGCTTCAGTCAAATTTTATCTCTAAATAAATGATTTAACAACAGAAATAAAACAACAACACAGCAAGTTTCTCTGAAAACAAGATAGATTTAGTTTGTCTCTTTGAATGATTATTCATTCTTACATCGTAATGTCTTAAATGTGTTTAATATCTTTAGTTCTGGAATATTCTTTGTGTGGCATGTATTGTTTTAACTGAATGTTATATTGTTTATTTGATTATTGTGATGTTTTAGGTCACTTATCCCTGCATAGACATAGACAGAGGACAGGAAAGGAAGGCCAGGTACTACACCGGTCCAAACGTGGTTGGGTGTGGAATCAGTTCTTTGTTATTGAGGAATACACCGGTCCTGACCCAGTGCTGGTGGGGAGGGTAAGTTTGAATAATAGCACCCCTATGACATAAAGTACGCTAAATATATAAAAGAGCAGGCACCCATTTGATTAATCTGCAGAGGTTTAATCTGGATCAATAGATTTGCAAACTGTATGATAATACAAGTACTTCCGAGGCTGAGGATAGTACTTTTATAGTTGCAGCTCTCATGTTGTGCAACAGGTTATAGCTGAATGTAAGGCAGCCACCTTCTCGTTCTTCTTATTTTTAAAGTCTCATCTTTTTTCTGTGGCCTTCAGCTCAGCTCAAGTTGTTTGTTTCTTTACCTTCATTAATCAGCTCTTTACTTTGCTTTTATGTCTGTTTTAGTTTATTTTATCGATGTATACAGCACTCAGGAAACAGTCTTTTTAAAAGTGATTTATAAATAGATTCGATTCAAATTTGTATTTGAAAGAAAATATTTTTTTTTTTTAACTTGGCAAGCATTTGCATTCCGTCCTTTTGAGTCAATACTTTCTAGAACCAACCAATTAAGACTTAAGACTTTAGGTTATGTCTCTACAACTTTTGTTGGTCTAGATATTAGTTAATCTGCTCCTTATTTATTGCAAAATAGCTTCAATATAGCCTGATTAGGTGGAGTTCATCTATAAACTATTTTCCAAGGTTTATAAAAAGTCTGAATTGGATTTAGTTCTGGACTTTCTGTCAATGGCTATATACAGGTCATCTTCCAGTGTTGTCTCATCCTTTGTATATCCTTTCCTCTATTAACAGCTTCACTAGCCATACTGATGTACATTAGGGAATTTTCTAATGCTTACAGTGAGTCACTACCATTCATTGTACAGTATAGCAAAGGTGAATGCTAACTTATTATGGGAGTGAGAATAATATGAAAGAAAACAAGGGGCTGCATTGACATTCATTAATAAGAAAGACTGGTGGTTTTCCTTGACAATAACAAGACAACAAAAGTGCCGGAAATGTGACTAATTTAGTTAGTAATAAGGCTGTAAGCATGCAAGAAGCAACTAAATTATTGTTAAACTATCCTATTTATAACATAGGGCGAAGGTGGCGTCGGGTGCAGGAGTTTGCCCTGCAATCGGAGGGTTGTCAGTTCAAGCCCTGGCTCGAGCTTTTAGTGTCATTGTGTCCTTGGGCAAGACACTTCATCTGTATTTCCTACTGATGGTGGTCAGAGGACCCGGTGGCGCCAGTGTAAAGCGGCCTTGTTTCTGTCAGTGGCCCCCAGGGCAGCTGTGGCTACAATGTAGCTTGCCACTATCAGTTAGTGTGTGCGTGAATGACTGAATGTAGTGCTATGTAAGTACAGGCCATCTACCATTTTTTTTTAAGTGATATTTTATTTCTTCTGTTCATCACAGACATTTTCTTGTCTATTACAGACTGTTCTTAGCGTCTTTGTCTCATCCTGTCTGGCCTTTGGTTTTTAGAGTTTGGATATCAAAGCTACAATCAGCATCTAGTGTAGCTGTCAGGCTGCCTGCCTATTCCTTTCAATGTTTTGGGTCATTCCCAATCTTTGCCTCTTGTCTCTTCAGCTCCACTCAGATGTTGATAAAGGCGATGGTACTATCAAATACATCCTGTCTGGGGAAGGCGCTGGAACAATATTCGTCATTGATGACAAGACGGGGAACATACATGCCACAAAAACGCTGGACCGAGAGGAGCAGGCCCAGTATACCCTAACAGCGCAAGCTGTTGCCCGAGACACCAATGAGCCGTTGGAACCTCCATCAGAATTCATAGTGAAAGTTCAGGATATCAACGACAATCCACCTGAGTTCCTCCATGGTCCATACTACGCCAGGGTGGCTGAGATGTCCAATGTTGGTGAGTGATGCATTAGGGGACATGAGAACTGAAAAATGCTTGGTTGAGTGTGAGAAAAATCTGTAAGTGATAATAATTATTTAATTTGGATGCACATTTCACCTCTATTCCTTGGCAAGGGTGTTGATGTTTTTCTCTGAATAACATGTAGAAATAATAACAGATACCCTTGCGCTGGTCAACTGCCTGTCAGAATGCTTTTGCAATGAAGTGTCGACCAAACAGCTTTGGTCAGCTTTGTGACGTAGATGTATTTTCTTATCAGACTGAACTATATGCGTTGTGTAATTTTCAATGAAATCTGGTCAGACTGCAGTGACTTGAACCACTCCCCCAACCTCCTCTGCACTTCTATCATGGTACCAAGTGACTTCTGCAACATCCGCATCACCTTGTCAAGTGATGACAATGCTTGTTGACAGGAACCAGCTGTCCCTTTCTCTCCCTGTCCTGCCTGGATCCCCCACAGTTAACCTCTATAGCTAGCCCGGGCCAGCCATAGCCTCTCCCCCACCTTCAGTGCTCTGTTTGCCCCACAGCTTTGTTTGATCTACCGCTGTGCTCCTCCTCTCTCCTCCTGAGCTAGCACCAGTAAGCTGTCACTTCTACCACTCTGGTTCCATAGAACCAGAACGAGGCGCATCTGGCTGCCTCATCCCGCTTATGGTGCTCTTGTTTTTGCAGTAATGCCTGA